CTGGACTTGAGCCTTGTATGCCGATCTTGTGAGGACATGTTCTTGACGATATAGGGACCGACGTTTATGAGTAGTGACAACGCAACAATACTCTTGGACTTGGTCAGGCTTTGAAGTTTGGAGAGGGAAAAAGGGGTTACGAGGCAGGAGGTCATCAAAGGTAGTGGCCTCAACTTCCTTGAAGGCTTCTTTGATCAAGATTTGAAGACCTCTCTCCTGCTTAACCCTGAGATAGTTGTGGACTTCACTCCAGAACCGAGCCTGAGACCTGGACTACCCCGCCTTCTTCGAATATGCAAGGGTCGTGTCTATGAACTAGAGCAGGGAGTGGGATCCAAGGACAGAATGTAGCTACGGTTTCTGCCTTGGAGGTTGGAGGCCTCTGTCTGACATCAGACCGTTGCCCTGAGTATCTTTGTGGGGCTCATGTGCACGGCTGACCTGAGGTTGTCTCAAGATGGTACTCTTAGGGAAGACCTTTGAGTACCAGGGCTTGAGGTGTTTGCTTGGTGTCTGGAGAGTGATGGAGGAAGGAGATGGTTCACGACTTCGTTTGAGTTGAGGTCGAAAAGGAACTTGTCAAGCCGTCCAGGTGACTTGGGGGTCGACCCGGGCCTGGTCAATGGGGTCGACCGGAGGTGGTCGAGACCCACGAGCTTGTATCTATGAGGGGTGAGGCAGAAGCCCATCTCTCACAAGGTGAAGCTATGTGTGTTTGGAGGGAGGACGTAGTCAACCCTCATGTGCTTGAGGTGGCGTAGAGCTAGAGCAGCCCCGGGCTATGGAAGTGCATGTAGGGTTCGGCCCGAGAAGGCTTAGCCGTAGATGTGAGCTCAAGGCAACATGAGGGTTGCCCCGAGGTGCGACTCGAGTGGATGGACCTCAAGCCCTTGGATTTGTGCGATGGGTGAAGATCTCAAGATCTCTGTCTCTATATGCCGACCCTCCAAGTGTGGAGATTCGGGGTGGTGAAGGAGCATAAGGGGTAGCCTTTCGACGAACCTCAGGAGCGACGACAACTCGCGTTCCTTTCGCGAGAGTGATGGGGACAACCTTCCAACGTGCCTCAGCAATATGACCAGTAAGAGACTGTCGGTAGTAGGGTGTGCAATATGTGTGGTGGCAGATGTGCCACCGATGCAAGAGGCCTTGGTGGAGGGTCCACCAAGGCGAGGTAGCAGGGAGGCGGGGACTTTTAAGTCCCCTCTTGCATTGATCCAGGTGAGAACATGGGAGCCAGACCGTGAGTATTGAAGAGAGTAGGGAAGGAAGCTTGAGCAGTTCGCTTCCCTGGGACAGTCACAAGTACAGGGATAAGGAAGTCCTCGACTCGAATGAATGGATTGAACATCCCAGGTGCCATAGAAATTAATGCAGAAAGTAAAAGAGGATACTGGTCAAACAAGAGCGAGCCGACTAAGGGGTAGTAAGTCCACAGTGGAGTCGTCAAGCTGGTTAGGTTACTCGATCTCACCCTCTGGATCTAGATGATCTGGCGGCCCGTATCTCGGGTTTTTAATGAACCCGGGATTTGAGATCACTCTCTCAGAACCTTGCTTGAGAGCAAGGGTAGGTATACCAATCGATGAGAGAGGAATTGAAGGTGGGTTTGGGACTTACTCGGGCTGGCTCGCGTGGGCGCGCCCTCTTAGATCACGAAGAAAGTCCCCTAGTTGCTTTAGCAGGTGCGAAATCGCCTCCCTTGTCTTACAATCCTCTTGCTTTTCGCACAACACTTATATGGTTAATTTGTAAGACAAGTGGGTCAGAAAGACCCACACTTGTCTTAGGGCAATGTACGTTCATACGAGAGGGTGATGAAGCGCAAGGTTCAAATAAATATAGAAAAGGGAAGAAAAACTCGACGAAGAGGCGAGACTAGCATAGCAATCATAAAGTCATCGACTCAGAGTGGTAGCAAGACGGGCATGGTTCTCAAGACTAGCACGGCGACAATCCAACTCGAAATCGAGACTGATATGACGGTGCTAGGCTAAGTTTACCCTCAGTCAAGTCAGACACTCTTGATCAATACTATAATTTTACTTATCAATATATTCTTGAACCTTGTAATTATAAAGAAGCTATTAATTCGGATGAATCTGATTTTTGGAATAATGTCGTTAATGAAGCAATGGATTCTATAACTAAAAACCATGTATGGGAGTTTGTAGATTTGCTTAGTGGAAGAAAACCTATTGGTTGCAAATTGATATTAAAAAGAAAACTCAATGTTGATGGTAGTATAGATAAATATAAAGTACGACTTGTTGCTAAAGGGTATAACCAAAAGGAAGGTATAGATTTTGTTGACACTTTTTCTCCAGTATTAATATTTCCTTCTGTTAGAATTTTGATGTTTATTGTGGCCAACCTTGATTTAGAATTGTTTCAAATGGATGTTAAAACTGCATTTCTCAATGGAAATTTAAATGAAGAGATATACATGTTACAACCTGAAGGACATATTGTTGAAGGCAAAGAAAATAAAATGTGAAAACTAATTAAATCACTATATGGATTGAAGCAATCTTCTAGACAATCATATTTAAAATTTAATGATGTAATTATGAAGCTTGGTTTTGTTTATAATGAAAGTGATCATTATATTTATTTTAAAATTAGTGGGAATAAGATAGTGATATTGTCTTTGTATGTGGATGATATTCTGAATGCTGGAAAGGACATAGATATGATTAATGAAACAAAATCATGATTGAAATATAATTTTGAAATGAAAGATATGGGGGTTGCATCATATGTTTTAGGAATTGAAATTACAAGAGATAGATCAAAAAGGATGTTCAGCTTATCTCAAGAGCATTATTTAGAATATGTTCTCAAGAAGTTTAAAATGGATTTATACAAGCCAGTCTCCACCCCTGTTGATAAAGTAGTTAAATTATCCATTGATTTATGTCCTACTAATGATAATGATGATATGAGAATATTGCATATGCTCAAGCAATTGGGTGCATTAATTATGTTATCTCATGCAATTGGGTGTTGTATCCTGGGTTACTCTGATGCAGATTGGAGTAGAGACTTTGAAGATAGTAAATCCACTTCGGGTTTAGTTTTCATACTTGGTGGAGGTGGTGTATATTGGTACACTCAGAAACAAGATTGTGTTGCTTTATCAACCATAGAAGTAGAATATGTGGCTTGCAGTTTAGGATCACAAGAGGCTGTTTGGTTGAGAAATTTCCTCATGGATTTAAAGTTGGAATGCATTGAAAATTGACCTATAAATATGTTATGTGATAATAAAGCAGCCATTGTTGTTCTCAAGAATTAAAAAATAAAATCTAAATCCAAGCACATTCGCAAGAGGTACCGCCATATTCGAGATGTAGTAGAATATAGAGATATAACAATTGATTATATACCTTCAAATGGAATGATTGCAGATCCATTGACTAAGGCTCTGAGGCGAAAAATTTTCGAGATACATTTAGCCGCTATGGGACTGAGATATAAGTCCAAATGAAAATCCAACAATGGTTCATAAAATCATATTGGTGGGTATATGAAAATCCCATGTGAAAAACATGATGCAATGCCACATACAAGATGTTAAAGAGCCTGCAGGCTGGGTATATGGAAATCTCATGTAGCAAGTATGAGGTAATGCCATGTACAAGAAGTTATAGGGCCTACAGCGCAAGTGGGAGATGTTGGAAATATGGCCTATCAGGCGCTTTTATCTCGAGAATTTATTTTTCACTATTGGTACAAAAGCCATATTGTATAGTATATGAGAAATCTCATGTGGTTGACATGAGGTAATGCCCATTTTGGAGCTTTTAGAGAATGTTGCACTAGAGGGAAAACCCAATGTCACTGGAGGGAAAACTATTTATGTGTTTGAATTCTTTGTAGGAATTTTTATTATATACAAAATTATTTAATTTCTAAATATCTTATAGCAAGTTGTAGGAATGCTTGGATGACATCCTATTATAAGAGTCATTAGTGCACTAATGATATGTTTAGCTCATTATATAGGATTAACAGTTTGGTGACAACTTGTTATTCTAATTGGCTGCACTTAAGGAAATTAAAGCAGGAGTTATACTTGAATCTCAACTCCTATAGACTATGAATGTGAGAGTTACAAAATATGGTTCTCTATAAAAAGAAGTTAACCCCTTGAGTAAGAAAACCATAGAGAATGATGGAAAATTAGTGAAGGAGATTCACTAAGAGGTATGAAACCTTAAGTCCCTCGTGTGATTTAAGGACAGATCTGAGTAAGTTATTTATCAATTTTATTTATTTATATATTGATTTTCATTATTGGGACTAACACTGGAATCCCAAGAGTGTCAAGGTTTCTAGTTTCCCTTTTTCGTTTGTTGGGGCCCGACTTGGAAAGGATTGAGGTGTGCCCATGGAATCCAAGGGTTCGTATTGCATGAGCCACCCACATCCAAGGGTCAAAATTGAATTTTATTTTAAATTTTAAATTTTTTATCCAAAAAGGATGTAAATATGAAATTTGGTCTTATGATTCAATTCTATTATTAGAATTGAATAAAAAAGAATAAAAACTATTTTGAATAAAAAATATTGCTCAAAACGAATTTAAGGGTATTTTGAATACTTATAAAATTACTATATTTTTTAAACATTTTAGTTTGATTTTGTTTACAAAAATACATCTCACCTACAAATTTCAAATAAATATGGTTTTTTTTTAAAATAAAAAATAGAATACAAGAGTAATTCATAGCCATTGAATTTGCCCTTATGAGGTAACCCGTCCACATCAGTTCTACGGAATTAATGATAATCCAAATAAGACGCCGGCCCAAGGGGTGATTTCCAAACCTGTGAATGTTCGATTTGATTACTCGGACAACTGCAAAAGTTGATAACGCTAGTAGTCGAACAACTGCAAAAGTTGATAACGCTAGTAATTTCCAAGTTGTCCGAAAATGACCGCATTAAAAAAAAAATTTGCTGAAATGGAAGGGCAAGGAAGGAGGAGCTGGCTTATAACCCTAGATATTTGGTCGGATACAAGTAGCAAGGAGAGTGAGAGTTTGGAGCCAGTAAATACAGAGAGAGAAAACGCAGGGCCACTAAACCTAGAGGGAGAGGGGTAGGAAATAGTGGTGATATGGGTGATTCAGAGGAGGTGAGTCGGGTGTCGACCTGCACCATCACTCCCTCGCGGGCATCGCAGGAGCAGCACCTGCAACTGTCGCCTTCGGAAATCTACCTGCTCACCGCACAGTACATCCAAAAGGGCCTCCTCCTACCCAAACCCGATCCCAATCCCAAGTTCTCCTCTCCTTCTATGGACTCTGTTCTACAGAGGCTCAAGGCCTCGCTGTCGGAGTGCCTCTCCCACTACTTTCCGCTGGCCGGCCGCCTGACCTCGCACCCTGATGGCACCATCACCATCCATTGCAACGATGCTGGTGTAGAGTTTGTACACGCCAAGGCGATCCATATCACATTAAATGACATCCTCAGGTCTCCATATGTTCCCCTTGTGGTGAGGTCCTTCTTTGTTCATAGCGGAGCTATGTCTCATGAGGGGCGCTTCCTCCCGTTACTTGCGGTTCAGGTATTTTCTTTCATCTCCTACTTCTTTTTTGGTAACTACAGTTATGGATTGTAGGGTAAAGGATGGATTTATATTTCATAGAAGGTCATGGTCACTCTTAGTTGTTAGATTGCGATGTAAAATCAAGTACTCAGCAGTGTGCCACAAAGAGCCCCCTTAAATTCCTTCAAATTTTCCTTTAAATTATTATGTAAACTATAGTTTGGGGACGCAGCCGAAGCACTCTGACCCAACCCACTTACTTAACCTCACCATGTGGGCAAGGCCGTTTGCCCCAAGTTGTATTTTTTTAAAAATCCAAAAGATTTATAAAATATATGGGAATTTTATATAAAGTTTTGTATATGATTTGGATGTTTTTGGTTAGTAAATATTTTTTTGTCATAATCTCTTTTTTTTTATTTAAAAATGTTCTTAGCAATTAATCAATTTTTCTAGAAGTAATTTTCATTTGCTTGTTTAAGGTTAGTTGGACTGTCTAAGCTTGTTTTCGATTTTATCTTTGGTGCTTAATGTGATTCTCTCATCCTTTTTTACACTGGCGTCCTCCAGTTTGAGAGTTCCACCAAATGCTAGAACCAACAGTATTGTATACACATTGCAAGTCTCGAGCTTTTCATGGAAAGCCCAAGAGCTCTTGGATCACCTTTATTCCAAGGCTTCTAGAGAGAGAAAACTAGAAGAGGAAAGTTTTTTTTTTTGTAAAGAGCAAAAAACTTTTCTAGAGTGAGACATACATCCATATATGAAATCTCTACCTTTATCGCAAATCAATTTTATCCCCATTTAGAAATACCATATCATATGGGATTCCCATATCTCATCTCTCTACCACTAAGAATATTGAAAGTATCATGGACGTCTTTGCACCCACAAAGAGGCCGACTTCAAATCCAACATCTGCCACTCGTCCCGCAGTGGATGTAATAAAAGATGTCAGTTCTCATAATCATTATCTGGTGATACATCACAACACAAGAGCTCTCACATACTCTATAGAGATATGCACCATGAGATTTTAAGGAGCAATATATCTCTGCAAGGAGAACCACATTAAATCTTCATCAAACTAATGTGGAACACCTCTTCTCTTCTATTAAAACAATGCTCGAGCCTGCCCTAGACTAAGTTGGCCACACCGGATTGAGTATCTCTACTAATTCATCGTGAGCTACTCTACGCTCAAGAGACTACTCAACCCCTACTTGTACTCCCACTCATCTCATCTAATAAAAACATTTTTATCATGTAAGCTAATAAATTCAATTTCAAAAATATTTTATTATGTTATCATACTTTTTCAAAAATATTTCACAAAAGAGCATCCAACGTAAAACCTCGTCGCTGATCTGAACATCTGATTGGAGTACACTTGTCTCTCTAGGTACCACTTTAACTGTGATGTCAATGGTCTTCTCAACCTACTATTATTCCGTATTGACCAGATTGTTTTCTTAGCTCTGCCCCCAACCCGACCAAATCATACATGACTAGAGGAGAGCACACTAAAGTAGCAACATCAAACTCCACTTTTTAATATAGTCACAAGGTCAATAAGGGCACTTAGGATCAATAAGTGACTAGCTATATCTCGCACGGTGTAATAGAGAATAGGGATAATCCTATCCACCTCTACTTCTCTTGTAGTACTGGTCTTGTAAGCTCGTGTGGTGTGAGTCGTACATTACCGTGTAAATGAGAAACAATACTAGGATCCACATCGAATTCACATCATACAAGTCTTAGTTCAACCGGAACCATACATCCCGTCGCATTCAATGCACCACTAGGTCACACCCAAGCAACTAATCTGAGCATGTCCGATGCTCACAGTTGGTAATCATACTACATTGATCCGGAGGGATGACCTACTCATATAGATCATGTCGATTCCTAACTATCGAATATCATCTCGATCTCATATCAAGGTGATACTCAGATACCTAGTGTGTGTTTCATCCTCCAATGTCCCAAACAATGGGGTCAGTCAATGCCATGTAAAAGAGTTGGCCAATCCTACTGACAAAGAGTTGGCCAATCCTGCTGACAATATTATCTAACAACGAACTAGCGTCCTAGTGCAATAGTGTGAATGCCTAATCAAATCATGTGTGTCATGAACAAACTATAATACCATAATCACTCACATAAATGGTAAAGAAAAAAGAACGTTCATGTACTAAAAAGAGTTTGACAATGATGATTGTGTATAAAACCAATTAAGGACTCTCAGGTCCCAGCCCTATACTTCTTTCAAGCTATAAGCTTAGTCATGGGGGTCAGCTGGTGGGATAACATGTCATAATTGTCTCTCTCCTCTTAATGACACCTCATACATAGTGATACCGAGTCTCTACGTGCTATGTCTTACTGTGAGAGCTTGTGCTTCCATTTTATCACCAAAACACGCTCACAGGCTCTCCAACATTCATTATGATCACTAGATTTGTAGTTTCCTTATGAGCCATACGCTCTGCCCACAATGTTACGAATCAATCCATATACTATGTATTTACACTGAACGTGCCAATCATTTCATCTGACTTGTTGCACCGAGAAATCGCTCCCACTTCCAAAGTGGAGACATTTTTAGATGTCAACCATCAATAGTCTTAATCATCATCTAATTAGACTTACTCTATCCTCCTAGTGGGGATCATTTCCCAGAAAGATCCATGAGTGGTTATGGTTATCTGGAGATATTGGAGTGTCAAGTTCACTGTGTGTCAATGTTCCGGACTTGGATTGCTCTAGTGGTGGCTTGACAAGCCCCACAACACATCCCATCATTTACACAATATGGCATTCATTAGACTGCCTACTACACTCAAATGTAGTTCACAAATCATTTTTTCAAATATTAGTTTCCATCTATGGACAGAGATTCAAATGCAGCACATGGCCTTTTTTTGTCGGAAAATCATTGGACCCTCCATCATGCATCCTAAATCTTTCCAAAATTTTCTTAATGTAATTCAATTAAGACAAACATAAGGAGCCTCTTATAATGATTGTGCGTGATCGCAAGATCGAGCACGTGATGCACTTTGCCCATGTTTTTCACATAAAAAATGGGGGACAACCACTCTTCATCAATCTTCTCCATATCATTCTATGCCCTTAAAATCTCGTCAACTCGCAGTAACAAGATCATGGAATTCCCACTATTCTCGATGACAGATCCTTTTAAGAAATATTATTTGATCAACCATATGGTCAAGTTCCATAGCCGAACTCACTATAACGGCAAATGTGAGGCGAACTAATACTATTCTCACCAACAGGGAGAATGTCTCAATGTAATCCATACACTCAATTGCGTCAACCGTCTCACCACTTTGCAGTTTATTGGGCTTTGCATATAGTCCCATCAACCTATCTATGAGAGAGAAGATCCACGAATTTCCAAACTTAGTTCTTCTCCATGCAATAATCCATTTGCCAGTAATAAATGGTCTGAGTTGTTTCCTGACTATCAACCCATTTCATTCTCGTCAATGGATATACAAGCCAGACCTTTCCTCTTCATGTACTCTTATGAGGCTCAAGAAATAATAGCGGTTCCCTCCCACTATCTTCAAGATTTTGAGATACTCTTGCTATTATCCTTTAGTGGAGGAATCTCCTCACCACTCTCTATTTGAGATCATTAGTAATCCAAGGCCTCTAATTTTTAGGAACTTCTGCTCAATATGTCCACGTCGTAGGATTTAATATTTTTAGGTTACCCTCTTCAGACTCACAAACTAAGACATACCTATTGAAGTTCTAAAAAACATCTAGTTAGGGTTAAAACTATTGACCTCTAGTTTAACTCATTGTCGTTATAAGAACAACTAACACCCAAGGACTAAAAAAGCATATACGGGATTTGTGACTGGTCCATGACTTCATTAAGGAGTTTTAAGACACAGATCTCGAAGGCACCCTATATGAAATACACACAATAGTCAATAAAGCATCTCCGAAAAGCTCACATATAGACATATTTGTGTTATCAAAGATATCGTTCAGTAGCGTATGATTCTTTCTCTCGTACTACCATGTTGGTATAAATTATAGGACATCATTTCTTGCTGACGAATCCCATAATCCTTTGAGAATCAATTCAACTATGTACTCGTGTGCATTATCAGTTCTGAGAATTATATTCTCCTTCTTGACATGTTCTCAACTTCCACCTTAAATCTAGTGAAGCAATAAATTGCCTCCAGTCAAGTGAGATTAAAAATACTCACTTATGGTGCAAGTAATAACATTGAGGTTCCTCAAGTCAAGTGAGATTAAAAATACTCACTTATGGTGCAAGTAATAACATTGAGGTTTGTCACAAGGCCTCCATCATCCAAGGGAACAAAAAAAAGTTTAAAGGTTATATGATATGTATGCCTTAGAAAATGGGTTTTCTAGTGGATACTACAATTGAACAAAGTTTAACATGGGTGGATACACTTAGTTCAACGATCCATCGTAGAAAACAATTCTTTGGGAAAAGGTAATCATACACAAGGTATCTCAAACCTGCATCCTTTTAAGAAAACAAATTGATTGTCCTATAGAAGAGGGTCTGGATGCTAAGAAGTAGGCTACTCCTCATCCCAGGAGCATAGAGTATATAATGGAGCAATATTATTCAATTTGGAACATATGATGATCTAGATGACTTTATATGTACCGCACCCTTAGCGATGTTGTTCCTCATCTAATGCTTACATCCCCCACTGGCACGAGGGAACCTAAATGAATCCGTCTTCATACCATGCTATGTTCTAATGCTCCCAATTTTATAATCCAATGAGTTATCTTCCACCCCATGCATACACTAGCATAGACAGTAAGTAGACGGTTCATGCCACTTTCAACTTAGTACATACATGAGTGAAGTGGCAAATCTATCATGCGACGATTGTAGGTCAAGATTGACTATAAACATTGGAAAGATGTGCTTGCTTCTCCTCCATTTGCTACTAGCACCCTCGACCTCCATATCCTCTTCCATT